AGTACCATCAGTTAAAATCCACCATCAAAAATCATATGACACAAAAAATATAAATCTCACCTTCCCCCCACCGATTACAAGATTACTAAATATCAAGACTCCAAAAAAACTAACTGCCAACATCTACAGCAGGGGTCACCAACCTTTTTGAAACCAAGAGCTACTTCTTGGGTACTGATTAATGCGAAGGGCTACCAGTTTGTTACACACTTAAATAAATTGCCAGATATGGCCAATTTGCTCAATTTACCTTTAATTCTATGTTTTTACTAATAATTAATGATATTTATTTTGTGGAAAAACTTATATTTTCTCTAAGTGCACATTTTTCAAATTTAACAAATGATAACTTCTAAGACAGTCCCATTTAATCGCAATTAATCACATTTTAATCGCATATAAATATTTGACCTGAGAACAGTGAGAAGTAATTTTTTTCACATGGATTTTTAGTTTACCATTGAATAATGACTGAATACATGAGGCTTAAGCAACACATGTTAATATGGAGTTTAAGGGATAACTTCTAAACATCAAATAACGTTTCTGTCATTGCCTCCACACTCTGACGACAACATATGCTCCTCCTCCTCCTCCTCCTCACACTGACGACAACATATGCTCCTCCTCCTCCTCCTCACACTGACGACAACATATGCTCCTCCTCACACTGACGACAACATACTCTTTTTAAGCCCAAAATCCACTGCACACGCTGTGAGTACTAAAGCTGGGCATGCGCTGTTTGCTAAAGCTTTTATAATACGTTTTTGATGTGTGCATTCGGAGTAAACATCAGCATTAGCAGCTCACACACCTGTGTCTCGCTCCTCCTCCTCCTTCTCCTCCTCCTCCGCTCACACAGGAGTCACTGCTCCTCCTCCTCACACACAGAGTCCATCGCTCCATACACAGCGCTCATTCCCGTCTTATTTACTCGAATTTAAAGTTGGTCTCTGCTTGTAATAATGTACTTTTGAACAAGAAAAGTCACGGAGCTCCGGTTGGTGCGTCAGTTCAATTGGTCCGTCTGAAACTTATTCAGTGAGGAACGTTCCGCGGTGCAAAAATACATACGATTAAAATGCGTAATTTTTTTAACGCGCTTTTTTGTGTGTAATTAATTAATCTTTATTAACTTGTTAAAGTCCCGGCTCTAGTTTATATGCCATTTGTAAGTTGCATGTAAGTATGATTTAAACAAGAATAGCACTGGTAAGTGCTGCCATTTGAGCTATTATTAGAACAGGCCAGCGGGCGACTCATCTGGTCCTTGCGGGCGACCTGGTGCCCGCGGGCACCGCGTTGGTGACCCCTGATCTACAGAATCATCCCCCATTCGGATAATACAGTCGCATTACCAACAGAAAAAAGGGAAAAAGACCTTGGATTTGCCCCTGATGCCTGCTTCTGGACCCAAATATGCAACAACATCTACATGTCTGACAATGCAAACCTTCACCTCATACAGTATAAAATATTACACAGAACACGTCTCACCGGACAGAAAATGTCGAAATTCAGCTCACATACAGACAAATGCACCAACTGCACACAAAACTCAACTGACAGACACATACATGCTTTTTGGCTCTGCCCACCTGTTCTTCAATTCTGGAGACAGAAACCCTCTCTACCATTATGGACTGCTGCATCCGCCACAGCCCTGTATACTGCCTACTCAGCAATGCATCCAACCTAACATGGACCCAACAGACCAAAAACTAATCTTAACAGCATTAACAATTGCAAAAAAACAATACTCCTAAACTGGAAATCAAAATTCAAAATCAGCATTCCACAATGGAAAGATCTCCTCCTAGAACACCTATCCTTTGAACTAGTTTCCGCCAATCACAGAAATATTGAAACACCCAGCAACTGGAACAAACTCATACATTTTCTTACAAGTTAACTAATTGCATTATTTTTGTTATTATTATTGTTACTATAATTTTAATTAAAGCAAAGGAAGGTTTCTCACCCATCATCTGTACTTCTTTGCAGGTTTTCCCGACGTTTCGTCCTTAATCCAAAGAACTTTTTTCAAGGGAATGAAATCTCAGACCGTGCGTTGGAGATTTATAACCTATGGGTGTGGCTAGACACACCCTAATCCTGAGGCTAACTCATAAACACATCTAAGGTACAATATAATACAATGTATTCTTGTATAGCCCTAAATCACAACAGAAGTAATCTCAGAGGACTTAACAAAAAAAAAACCATTGAAATCACCAAATAAAACACATAAAGAATATAGAACACATTCCTATTGTCTGCTGAGATTGCTCGAGTGGAGTGCAGGTCTCCCCACTCCTAAATCATTAGCACGTCACTGACAAATCTTAACCCGCCGCCTCTGTTAAGAGAAGGTTTGTGCGTCTTTCACCCCTCTCTCAAACCTGTTTGCGAAACAGAGCAATGTGGTGTATTCAATTAAATGTAGTGAAGAGGAGTGCACTGACCACTATATTGGAGAAACCAAAGAAACTCTACAGAAACGACTTTACCAACATCGTAGAGAAAACTCTAGTGGGCCACAATCGGCTGTACATCTCCACCTCAAGGCCACCAACCCCACCGTGAACGACACAAAGGTTAACATTCTGGCTCGAGACAAAAATTGGTTTGAGAAAGGGGTGAAAGAAGCCATTTTTGTGAGGAAACACAAACCTTCTCTTAACAGAGGAGGTGGGTTAAAATTTGTTTTGCCTCGCATCTATGACGACATCCTAAAAACCACTCCCTAACTATAGATAAGGTCAGTGACATGCCAATGAGTTAGGAGTGGGGAGACCTGCACTCCTCTCGAGCAATCTCAGCAGACAAAAGGTCTGTGACATGCTAATGAGTTAGGATCGTTAGACCTGCTCCCTACCAAATCTTAACACACCTTAGATCTGTTTATGAGTTAGCCTCAGGATTAGGGTGTTTCTAGCCACAACCATAGGTTATAAATCTCCAACGTGCGGTCTGAGATTTCATTCCCTAGAAAAAGTTCTGTGGATTAAGGACGAAATGTCGGGAAAACCTGCAAAGAAGTACAGATGATGGGTGAGAAACCTTCTTTTGCTTTGACTAATCCATGTGCGACTGAGAGCTTACACAAGCTTATAATTTTTATTGTTGTTATTGTTATTATTTTATTATAATGTTAATATAGTTCTCTTATTTTTTCTACATAGCCTGACTGGATTATTATTATTTATTTATATTTTTGCTTATTTGTTGTTGTTGTTTTTTTGTTTTTGTTTTGTTCTTTTTGTATATTTTCTGCTTGACTGTTATTAATACAAATTATACAATTATTATTTACATATATATTTTATAACATATTATTTGATTATATTGAATAAATAATGGGGAACTGTGATGACAAGGAAGCAACAATAATAAATAATAATAATTATATTAAATAATAAACATTGTATAATAAATAACACTAATGGGCTCTCTTCCCATATGCATCTCAGGCTGCACAACATCTCACGCTTTTTTTGTATGCACCACACAATCACAGACATACTATTGAGGAATAGTGTCGAAAGAGTGCCATTAATAATGCTAATGTTAAGGACGCTAGTATTCTTGTAATTGTTATCTTCATCATCATCACCATCATCGCTATTGCTGTTATTTTCTTCTTTTTTGTTGTTGTCATTGTTATTTTGCCTCTCTCCTCTCGCCCCTGTTAACTTACACCATACCACCAATTCCCATCAATACGCTTGGATAATTAATCAATGCACACACAAAAAATAAATAAACTAAACTAAAAAAGTAAATAATGAACAACACACACACGAAAGCCCATGTATGTATGTATGTTCATGTTTTTTGTTTAAAGAAAGAAAGAAAAAATTATATATTCACGTAGTGAATGTCAACTAAAATGGTTAAAACAATCAACATTGTTTATTATTGACGGACAAATAATCAGACAAATCGTTATAGCATTGGCTATAGAGTTGTGGTTGAGGATCACGCAGATGAGCATTGCGGAAACTTTTTACGTGCACGTTCTTACAGACAGGCTAGCTGTCTTCCATCAGTTGTCCCTCAGCATTCTTTAAAAATACAAAATATGCCCACACTTCAGACATTGTCCTTTTTGAAGGCTGATAAATAAAATGGTCTTAAGGGCTATTGTCTCCTTTTTTCGGTCATGACTCCAACATGAAAGTGCCAGCAGAGATTTGTATTTATTATTAAGACGGTAAACGTTATAGTCACATTTTTTTCCAGGGTACACCGCTATACCGGTAATCATGACATCCCTATTGCACACATCTTTGCATTACAATCAAACAATATTTCACTCAACCTAATATTACACACAAATTCCTGTTGTACGTACGTACACCAAACATTATCAATTGTGCTCACATGTGAAGAAAATGACAATAGTCTGGGGATCGTGTCTTTAATTCAGAAGACATGTTTTATTGTTGATGGTAGACAGCACGAACAAAGATGTTACAGAATGTAATTGATATTATACAGCATGGAGGAATGGAGACCTCAATCAGCTTTCGCCGCGGTGCCAGTAGCTTGGCCTTCAGAAAACCAAAACATGCAATGGAAAAATAATGCCTTGTGCATATTGTTAGAACTATGAGTTAGAACTTAAACCACAGTTGCTGCAAAGTGTCCTGAAATATCCAAACATGTTTGAGATGACCTTATCCACTCTTTAAGGTGACCTTTAAATGTAATAAAACCGGGGGCTCTCTTACAGAAGTCGGCTAGCTGTTCCATTGTACACAGCCCTTATAGGACAGAACATTTTGTCTTTTCTCACAGGAACCCCACAATCACCTCTACTCATGGGTCTGGTGGTTTGTGAAGTTCTATATTTAATGTAATCCTAACTTTTATATATGAGACAAGCATTTTTAAATTTGATAGTTCTTAAAAATTTCATTATTTATATTTTGTAAGAATACTGTGGTTGTCCACATAAACTACAGACCTGTAACCCTGTTCTCTGCCCGCAGCCGTATGACAGCCTCCCTACCTCGCAGACCTGCTTCTTCCAGCTGCGGCTGCCACCGTACACGAGTCAGAGCGTCATGGCCGAAAGACTCCGTTACGCCATCAACAACTGCAGGTCCATTGACATGGACAACTACATGCTGTCCCGCAACGTGGACAATACAGAGGGTTCGGACACGGACTACTGACCCACTGACCGTCTGACCCAAGAGCTTGCACAAAGGACTACAATTCCCAACAACATACCACAGACTGGAGACTGAAGAAAGGACTACAACACACCGTACAGACAAGAGACTTAGAAAGTAATTCAAATCTCAACCAGAAACGCAAGCAGCCTCAAAACGTGTAGGGCTCAAACGCAAACTATAAAACTTGGTCAAAGACTCCATAAAGGACTTATAACTCCCAGCCGGAAACACATGGATAAGGATTATAGGCTCAGATGCAGAACACCATCACTTTAAAGAAAACTACAGAAACATTCACAGAAAGACTTCAAGGACCACTTCCCCACTGCACCCAACCGGCACCGCTTTCACTCGGCAGAGGAAGAGAATCGGTTCAGGGTTGGTTGGACTTCTTCTCAATCTGAGTCTTGACCACTCGTTTGTTCTGCCGTGTTTTAAGCATAGCTAGTTTTTCTCTCACTCCACAAAAACTGCTGTGATTTTAGTTCAAGATGAGAAAAACGACTTCAAGCTCCTGGTCACTTATTTTTTCCTATTTTGCCTCTCTCTCTGCCTCTCTCCCTCCATCCAGCTTTTCCTCTCTCCCTCTATCCACCTCTTCCTCTCTGCCTCTGTATCGCCCTCTCTTGAGTTTCTTGTTCTTTCTTTTCATTAATCATTCTAACTCCTCTGTTGACTGGTGCAGTGACTTCTCTTTGCATGCACTGCTCACATGCTTTATAAAGAGGAGCTCTTAAATGTACATTGTGTAAAATTCGTCCAATTGTTTTACATTAAAAAAAATCCATATTTATTGTTTTCTTTTCTTTTGAGGATGTCATCAGAGCAACAACAATAAATGCTGCACAACAAACTGTCTGCATTTTATTTAAAATTAGAATAAAGCTGTAAGGTATTGGCGTTGACGTCTGTGCAGGCTTAGCCTGGCCCTAGCCATCCGTAAATTATAATTTCCCTGCATTTACCGTCTGGGTCTAGTCCCAGTGTCTGCAATGACATCGGTTGAATCCCATTCGACCAATCAGCGAGCGCGGAAGGCGGGTGTGGTAGCTGTGGGAGACGTCAAGAGTTTGGGTAACGCTTTATATTAAGGTGTGCTTGTTAAGTTTTAATAGGCATTAGTAACATGCTTATAATTTGCTTGTATGTGCTTATAAACATAAGCTGCCCATTTCACAATTCTCTAAATTATGTTGTTCTAGTTATATGCTTTTAAGCATTTAATAAGTAATTAGCAAGATGCTTATTACAGTAGTAGTAGTAAGTAGTAATGTTTATTTATATACCGCCTTTTCACTGCACATCGGAGTCTCAAAGCGGTTTACAATTGTTATTTTTTTTTTGGGAGTGCCAGTACAGGAGGCACATATTTTTAGTGGTAGGGGAAACCGGAGCACCCGGAGGAAACCTACGCAGACACGGGGAGAACATGCAAACTCCACTCAGAAAGGCCCTGGTCCAACCGGGATTCGAACCCAGGACCTTCTTGCTGAGAGGCGAGAGTGCTATCCACTCAGCCACCGTGCCGCCCATTTACAGGAGGAATATGTTTATAAATATATGAATAAGCTGCTTATTTAACTATTATCGATACCATGTTAATAGGCCACTAACAATATGCCTATACATTTATTAATTACACTACAATCTAATTTCAGTTTAATAGGCCACAAACAATATGCTTGTAAATGTTTTAATAAACTGCTTATTACACTATTTTGCAGTACCCTAATCTAAAGCGTGGACCATATGTGTTAATACAGAAAAAAACACAACCATGATGTAAGATTTTTTAATTTATTCAAACGGCAACAATTACATCTTTAAACATGACATTCTCTTTTGCTGTCTAACTGTCTTAACTATAATTTTGTAAGTAATAGTGGTTAGTAACTTCGAGGAGCCATGATCATCACACTCATGCTCAGACCTACTTTCATAATGAAAATGTCAATGACAATTGTGTTTTAATGTAACAACCAAAATGAACAAGATTATTCAAAATAGTGAATCAACTGAAATACAACTCTAAACTTTTTTTAAACGAGGGAGATACGCTTTAACATGCACTGAAACTCAAATTTCCTTCCTTACAGAAAAACTACTTAAGAACAGTACAGGTCCTCAAAAACTCTGCTAAAGTATTAGCCTGGCTAACGCCAGACTGCTGTGTGCGCTCGAATCCTTTCGAACTTCACAACAGCCTGGGGACCATGGCCGACATTTGTCCATGGAGTTGGGCACCAATCACAGAACGAGGAGGGACGGCAAGACGATGACGCGCTATTTGGCAGACGGAAGCTTGTAGTTCTTTTTACGAATCCAACATGGCAGCAGCAGACGTGAAGCTATCTTTTGATCAAGCTGTAGACCGTGTTCTAAGTAGTTTACCTCGAACGTTTATTTTAAAAGATGAACAGCGTTTGGCTTTACAATCTTTTATCAACACCAAGCAAGATGTTTTAGCCTTGCTTCCTACAGGGTTTGGCAAAAGCCTAATCTACCAACTAGCCCCGTTAGTGGCAAAGCTAATGGGGTTTAGCAAAAACCCGGTTGTTGCGGTGGTTTCTCCATTGATCGCCTTGATGGAGGACCAGATAAAGGAGGCAGCTGAGCTCGGGATTTCTGCGATACAGCTTGGTCCCGTGGAGGAAAATGCAATCAAGAGTTGCCGGTACCAGGTTCTGTTAGGCAGTCCGGAGGCCTGGCTAAGCGCCAAGTGGGAGAACTTGCTATCCACCGACATATACAGAGGACCAACCTGATAGGCATCGTTGTCCATCTTACATATAAATGGTAAGTGGTATTTGTTAATATTATTGTCATGCCTGTAGCTACTAGCCTGGCTAACGCCAGACTGCTGTGTGCGCTCGAATCCTTTCGAACTAAATATCACTTGTGATATTTCGTCTGGCGTTAGCCAGGCTAGTAGCTACTGTACCTACAGTGTCACTGTGTTACTTTTCAATAATATCAAGCTACAGCTAACGTTTCCCGGGACATAGCTTTCAGCTGTGTGCACATGTAGAATACCCGATAAAAGTTGTTGAAGCTTGAGTCGCTATTGTAACTAAACGTGAAGTACAAGCGTGAACCATTTCCAATACAAATGACAAATTGAACATCTCTAAGCTGTAGCTGTGTTTTTCTTTTTTCAAACAGGGGGAAGGCTGCGAAAGGACAGAAGGCCTTTAGGGAAAGCTTTTCGAGGTTGGGGGAACTTCGGGCAATCGTAAAACCAGGTAGGTAAACAATAACACTTAAGAGATCACCGTAACCTTCATATGGTGTGACACTACATTTGTATTACTGGGACGCTTTAAAGCTTTGTTAGCTCACCCAACCCATTACCCTTTCAACGAGCAACCAGCTTTCTCATTATGGTCTTACTAGTGGAATATCTCACCTCTTACCCCACTGATTTTACTGTGCTCTTAACTCACTGTCTGACATTATGACATAACAAAAAATACAAATTGTTAATTTCAAAGTAATGTTACAATACATACAGTTTATTCAGTGTAAATTAAGTATGCTGTGGTATGACTTAAATGCAACTGACTTCCATGTTTTTGAGTTGTATTTAATATATATATATATATTTTTTTTAGGAACACCAGTATTGGCATTGACTGCATCTGCGGATTTGCACTCAAGAGACATTGTCAGGAGACGGCTACACTTCAAAAATGAAAACAACATAATTGTTAGCCCCAATCGACTCAACATTAGACTGTCGGTAAGGCGACTTGCAACAGATTCTCTGGACTGTTTTGACTGGCTGGTGAGAGACTTGAAAGAGAAAGGCCTGGAGATGGTACCGATCATCATATACTGCCGGACAATAAACACTGTTGTACGAGTATTCCTCCACCTCAAGGCTGAACTTGGGGACAGTGCCTGGGTTGGTGGAGAGAAAGTAGGTACAAACCTCCTCATTGGGATGTTTCACAGCCATACTCTACCCGTGAACAAGAGCAGGGTACTTTCTTCATTTAATGGAGAAGGCAGCTGCAGAGTAACTGTGGCAACTACAGCACTTGGAGTCGGCCTAAATTTCCCCAAGGTCTCCCATGTGGTCATGTATGGGTTACCAGAGGACACAGAGGCCACTCTCCAGCAGGTTGGAAGAGCAGGCAGAGATGGCTCTCCCGCTTATGCTGTTCTTTATGCCAACAAACAGCTCGCCAACACAGACACGGCAGTAAAGACAGTTCTTCAAGAAAGCCTAAAGGGCTGTTTTAGGAAGGCCCTATACTCATATTTTGAGAAAGAAGTGTCCAGTGTTGAGCCAGGACATTCTTGCTGCACCTATTGCCATTCATTATGCAAGTGTAGCTCTGACTATTGCTCTGTATCAAAACCCAATTACGAAATGCCTAAACAGATTTTAACACCTGTCAAATGCAGACAAATCACATTAGATGAGCAGGAACTAGTCAGAAAGCTTTTGGAGAAGTATAGGGACAGTCTAATTCCACCCAATGAACACCTGTACACAAATGCCTCATTCTGCACTGGTTTCAGCAATGTGCTAATTGAGTCAGTTATTGAAAGTCTTTCTGAAATATTTGACATAACTGATGTCATGAGGAAACTACCTGTGTTCGACATAAAACATGGCCAGGAAATCATACGAATTGTTCACAAAATATTTCAAGACTTTGATTTATGCGAGTTCCCAGATATTCCTGAAGAACCATATTTGCCGCCAGATATTGACTTCTCCGGGTACTTTGATGTTGCTGATGACAATGAGGATTTTGAAAGTTCATTGAGTAGCATTGAGTCGGGCTTTTCTATGCTTCAAATCTCAGATTAATCACTGAGCCACTGTAAATAACTGCACAGTTGTAAATGTTTCATTCTGAATAAATTTATCTTTTTAAACTTCATACATGCAGTAATGTGTCCCTTGAATACTCATGAATAAACAAAGTCATAACTACTATTGAGGTGAAAAACTGTGAATAGGGAAATAAATTGAGTTTCAATTT